GGAAATACGCATATATATTTATATGTGTGTAAGCTTTAAAAAAGAAGACTTTTTTTGAGTTTTGGGATTTTTCCTTTTTTTGTTTTTTTTTTTTTTTTCACATTTTTTTTGCTTTTCTCGATTTTTCTCTTTTTTTGGCTTTTGGCAAGTGCGAGGGGGGACTGGCCCCCCTTGACACTTAATTATTTTTTCTAATAACAAAAAATAGTATCAATCAAAGTTGTATGTTTGGGCCCACCTGGAGGAGCGCACGTACTCGCGCGCCTCCTCCAGGTAGGTCCATAATGCTTCCCCAACCAGATCCGCCTCCACATGCCGGTTGGAGGAGCAAAAGGCCGTATGGTGGTCCTCCAACCGGCATGCGCGGCACCTTGCCCTACTGGGGCAGGCCTCCTCCGGGTGCCCCGCGCCCCCACACTTGAAGCAGCGCAGCGCATTGGCATGTACCCTGATGCGCTGCCTCAAGGTGGGGAACTCGTGACACTCGGAGGAGTAGTGGCGGTAGCCGCAAAGGAAGCAATGAGTAGGGCAAAGCGAACTGGTTGGGTCGAACTTCGACTTCGCAAACGAGGCTGGCCTGTCGTGTTCGTCGAGGATCTCCTTTAGAGACTTGTGCGCGCCATTCTGCTTTCTTCTGTTTTCTCTCCTTGCCTCCGTGACTACCTGCGCAGCGAATCGATCCTCGAACTTTTTGATGGGAATGACCGTATCGTTAAAACGAATCATTTCTAAACAACTGGTGTGAGCTTCATGCGAGATAGACTGCGGTATTGGCGTTATTGTAACGTAAACGGCACACATTGTAGTTTAGAAGAATTGCCGATGCGCATGCGTCGTTCGCCGACTGCGGCCCCGCCGAAACGGCGGGGAGGAAGTCACCCACGCGGACCGATCACGCCAACGGAACGCATCCATGCGATTAGCTAGTCCGCGCGAGGAACTCCCTGCCCGAAGGAGGCTGGGCCGCAAACGGGAACGATGGGGACTTGATTAGCCTCTAATATGTCATGTAGTATGAGACACGAGTCTATATGACGATAAGTCAATGTAAAGTTTACCGTCTTATTTGTTCGAAGTCGTGAGGTGCGATTACCAAGCAAAAATACGAAAAAATGCAAATGTAAAGTTTACCGTCTTATTTGTTCGAAGTCGTGAGGTGCGGTTACCAAGCAAAAATACGCAAAAAATGAAAAGAATACGATTAATGAGACGAAGAGAAGTAAATCATGCTCATAAAAGGTGCGAGCTTCGCGGTTGAGTGAGATATTAAAGGGATTGTGATGACATTAGCGAATGAGCGTCGTCTCGCCGTTCAAATTTGACTTTTCGCGCGTAAGCGTCGCGACCGCGACGCGTGACTCCGTTGTATACGTATGCGCCGTCTGATTGATCGGCTTCATTCAGAGCTGGCTTTTTCGCGCGTACGCGCTGCATCCGCTACGCGAGTCTCGTTGTGCGTGCAATCTCATCTGCGTTTGAACCGTGTGATTCGCGCTCACGCTACGCGTCCGCCACGCGCGTTCTTCGTTGTGCGTTTAACATATCCGGCTTGCGTTCTTGAAGGACGGTCGAAGTTTTTGGATAGAAGTTGCGTTTGCACGGATGCAAATGATGGAACGGTCGCGCCTAATGTTATGGCTAGCTTCTTATAGTGCTGGAAGGATAAGGTAAAGGTAAAAATAAAATAAAAGTTGAATGTTAAATGCGATAAAACGTTGTTGAGATGAAATTGATATAGAATTTCGCGATAAGCTGACGTGAATTGTTGCGATAAAGCTTATGTGGGTTGTTGTAATAAACTGATGGATTCATCGAGGAAATTCGGAATGCATAATTTACCGCCGTGCGCGTAATTGGCGTTGGGGGGCACTTTTATATTATGCGTATTATGATTTCTAGATATTAGTGAATCGAAATGCATATGGTTAGAAATTAGTACATATTGTTTATGAACTTATGATGTGTTTTTGCGTTTCTGGGAGGTTGTTTTCGCCGCAAAGCTTCGTCTTGACTAGCTGCGCGGGCCTTGGGCCGTCGTTTTGGTGTTGGGTTTCGACTTTCGTGCGCGCTTTCCGGTTTGCGTGTCTCCTCGTTTTTCGCTCTGATCTCTAGCGGATACAGATGTGCTAGAGAGCGCGTCAGGATCTTGCCAGTAGTCGTCCGAACATCTGCGGAGCGTGGTTGCTTGTCTGCGCCGAGGTGAATCTTAACAACGAGGCCTAGTGGCCACTGCCCCCTGGGTATCTTGTCGTCTGCGACTATCACAACATCGTTTACGTACGGCAGGGCTGTTGAGTGTTTAGGTTGGCGTATGCGATGTTGGTGTCGATCTCTCAGTACTGCGAGGTAGTCTGTGTGCCAAAGCTCCCAGAACCTATCAAGTACTTTTAGCGATTCCCTGTACCAGTCTGCGAGGCGGTGAGCCGTGATGTTGAACTCCTGCGTGCGTTCGTAAGGTGGGATCTGGAGTTCGACTTCAGGCGAGATGAAGTCGACTGGTCTTAGGGCATGGAGAAATGCGTCGCTTTCGCGGAAGGGGGTGATGGGACGTGAGTTGATGACTGCTTCTATTTCTGCGACGGCTGTGCGAAATTCTTCCAGAGTCAAAGAAGTGCGTCCCACTGTTTTGCGAAATGCCTTTTTGAATAATTGCACCATGCGTTCGTAGAATCCACCTTTCCAGGGTGATAGGGGAGTTATAAAACGCCACGTAATTTTGTTTTTCGCGCTGTAGTCGGCGATTGTGCGCCATGAGGAAGGCGCATAGATGACGTTGCTGATCGCATCGTCAGCTGCGCGGAACGTTGCGGAGTTGTCGCTGTAGATGAGGTCTGGCGTACCCCTGCGCGCTACGAATCTGCGGAAGGCTAGAAGAAACTCTTGAACGGTGTTATCCATAACGGGTTCAAGATGGACGGCTCTAGTGGACATGCATGTTATAAGGCATACCCAAATTTTGTTTACCGTTGAGAAGACGTTTCTATAGGTCAAAGGACCTAAGTAGTCGATCCCTACGTTCTGGAACGGTCTGGATCTTGTGACGCGTTCCTTCGGCAGAGTCGGCATGTGCGGGTAACGATAGGCGTGTCCGTTAGCTTTTCTGCAGATAGTGCATGTGCGCAATGTTTTGGCTACCAGCGTGCGTATTGATGGTATAAAATAGTTTGCGCGGAGGGCTGCGATTGTTGAGTAGACCCCAGCGTGATATCGACGCAGGTGGTAATGGTAGACTATTATAGTGGTTAACTTGTGCGACGGTAGAAGGACTATTGGCGCCCTCGACCGTGGGTATACGCGGTCCGGGCACCGAATGAGTCCATCTTCCGCTTTTTGTGCATTGAAATTGTGCCAGCGGAGCCGCTGAAGAACGTGCTTCATGTTCGCGGTAGTGCGCTAGAATGACCACGGTCTCTGCGGCAGCCATGTCTGCGGCGGTAAAGGCGTCTTTAACGCTAATGTGGGTTAGTTGCGGAAAGATCTTTTCAGGCGCTCCTGCCATGTAGGCGAAGTGCGGGAAAAGATCTTCATATGTAGGAAAGCGGAGTATGTACGCCGTGATTTTTAGCAACTTTGTATAGTTGTTAGTGGCAGAGAATGGAAGGACTGATATGAATTTGGTTAGCTGAATGCTGTTTACTGTGCGATACTCTGACTCGCAATCCGCGTCAGGGGGGATCGTAAAGTCTACGTGCGTCTTGGGCCACGCGTTGACTGGCTGAGTTAGAAATGGTGGTCCTGTCCACCAAATATGGTCTTTAGCGTGTTTTGTGGATATGCCACGTGTTGCCCAGTCTGCGGGATTGTCTTCAGAAGGGACGTAGTAGAACTTGGTGAAAATTCCCTGGTTTTGTAATGAAGTCACAATGCCTCTTATTGTATTGATTCTATTCTGGACGAAAGTTTTGAACTGATGCGTTGAATGGATCCAGTACAAGGCGATTTGCGAGTCTGAGAACAAGTGGACTGCGGCTATAGGCACGTCCAATTGCTTCACAATGTACTGCGCAAGGCGGACACTGATGAGGATCGCAGGAGTTCAGCTCTTGGTACTGTTATTGGTTTGAGGTCATTGAGGTGCGACTTTGCCATCACGAGGCGTGATGTCGCGACGATGCGGATCGATTGATGAAGTAAGCACAACAAGCGTACAATCGTTTGGAAGCATCTCCGAAGACACACAGTTCAACAGTGTTAGAGCGCAGAGGTTTCGTGTTAATTGGTCCTAGGTATAGGTGGAAGTGGTTCGCTGATGTCGACAAGAAGATCTGACCAACGCTGACGATCCGATTCCTCTAGCTGGTCATCCCAAGCTAGTTCCTTCGACCACAGATCTTGTATGAATATCTTAATGTTGACGAAGAAAGGAGTCAGAAGGCCAAGAGGATCGTATGTGGAAGCCAGGGCACGGAGTGCTGTGCGCTTAGAGTGA